CTGAGGACGAGCACTGGGGACAAGCGGTACTGCACACTGGGAAACGCTGGAAACCGGTTCTTTTTCCTTTCCAACCCTTATCAGTGGATCTGTGAGGGATTCGCTCTCCCCACAGGGCTGTCAAAGGCATGGCGTGTTTCCAGGCAGTAGTTTCCTGGCTTTATAGGGCAGAGGAAGCCATGTGAGTGTCACCGCAGTGTCACTGCCGGCMGCGGGAACAGCCCCGATCTGGGCAAACCTTCCAGGGGGAGGGAGGAGACACCAGCCATGAACCTTTCCATGCTGGGGCATGACAGCTGCCACAGCCCTCCAGGTGAGCCCTGCGGACAGGATGTGCCACAGTTGGGATTTTTTTTTTTTTTTCGGGAGCTTCTCGGTGACTGTGGCAGATCCTTTGATCTCTACAGTTTCCAGCATGTCCCCAGGGTGTTCCCAGTCCAGCTGCACCTTCTGGTCACTGGCAATGTGTTGAAGCTGTCTTTAGTGCCCTTCAGATGGRTGTTTGTGGAGATTTATTTTGTGTTTCCTGCTTTTCTGAGGGCATCCTCAGTGAAAAGCTCTTGGATGGTGGAGTTCAACAACTCCCAGTTCCTCAGGGCTGGGGGTAAATTCAGAACTCCTCACCCAGGGAAGTGAAGTTGCTGGCAGGGAGGAAAGGGGTTGGGATRAGAGATTTGCAAACGTGTCTAAGGCTGAGAAGAGGATTTAAATTTGGAAGAGAGAGAGGTAAAAGTTGTCAGCTCACTGGGCTTTGGCATCCACCTAAATCACAGAAAMGTTTCTCATCACACACTGCAGTACCCATTCATTTCCTTGGCGGGGAGACAGAGAACTGACATTCCTAAAGCAGGACAAAAAAGAAAGAAAAATAAAAAAATCAATAACATCCCAGTTCAGCCTGTGTTGGCTGCCCCTGGGAACGTGCTGTCCCTGGAGGTTTGTGCCTCTGGCTCATTCCCAGTGAAACTTCCACTTCATTCCAYGCCAGGATTAYGTCTGTCCACAGGGTGYGTGGACAGAAAAGAGTCCAGAAAGATCCTTGGGTTGCCCCCATGTCCTCAGAGGGTCACAGCAGAGTGACAGTCTGGGGACAAGTGCTGGGAGTAGAGCCAGCYGTTCCCTGTCCTTGGAGTCGTGGTTCTGCCGTGGGAAGGATGCTCTGGAAGAGCCCAGCTCCATCCCCTTTGCTCTTCAGCTCCCACCATGGGCCAGGGAAAAGGGTACAGGGACACATGAGGAAAGCTGAAAGTCCAAGAACTGACTTGGACCTACATCCCTGCCCCATCCAGGAGCGAGAGGGGACCCACAGCATGGAGAGGCCTGGCAGGAGACACTGATGCTGGAACTGAAACAGGTTCATGTTCCTTTGCTTTCCTGACAGTAAACGGTGGCCAAGCACACGGGTACAGACATCCCGACTGGGGCCAGTCCCCTGTGCCAGGGCCAGGATGCTGCCAAATGCCACCTCCGTGGCTGTCCCATGGGGTCCTGTGTTGTTTGCTGGCACTGTGAGGGTTCTGTGGCCAAAAGTTCAGCCTCATACTGTGGTGGGAACAGAGGAGAGCTGGAGAGGTGGGAGAAATAGGTGTGGAGACAAAGCACTGATCAAACAGMTCCCTGCAGGCTGGCAGGGCTGTGCTTCTTCCCMCTGGGGATCTCGGGCTGGGTGTGAYGGGMCCCCAGCCCCTTCCCTGTGGGGACAGAAYGGGACAGGCTGGGCCATAATGCCTGTCCCAGTCCAGGCAGCTGATGGGATGACCCCAGCCATGGACCTGCTCTGTCCTGCCATCCCCTGGAGCCACTGGGATCTTTAATCCATGTCCATTCACCCCACGGGGTATGGTCACAGATTGTAGTCACCCCAGGGAGCTTCCATGGGGTCAATCCCAAAACTGATGTGAGGAGAACCTCACACCCTTCTACCCTTTGCTGAAATGCTGTMATGAAACAGGGTGTCCCTGCAGCCCTGGGCTGGTGTTTTGGGGTCTGTGCCCCCTCCTCACACCTTTTCTGGCCTCTCAGGTTCCTGCCAGGCCCARCTCGAACTTTGGACCTTCCCCGAGTCTTTTATTGACTCTGGAGTGAGCGTCAACACAGCGATAGCGTCAGGATGGTGACTTGGGATGTGCCAGTGCCTGGCTGGCCAAGAGAGGGGACCCAGCCCCGGGATGACCCCACACAGCTCAGTGGGGTTAGGGCAAGCTGTGCCTCTGTTTTTGGCCAGGCTGGAAACAGCGGAGTTGGGTCCCAGCTTCCCAAAACAACAGAGAAGAGAGCAACAGTCCCTGTGGGACCCSGGGTCTGGAGGTCTGGGTTGTGAAATCTCCCACTGGGACTGCTGGGGATGTTTCCAGAGCTTCTTGTGCAACTTTRCGGGGTGGCAGCAAGAGAAAAACCACCCCAAAACATCCGAACCATCTGGGTTGTGGTTAAATCAGGAGCGTGTGCTTGCGTTGGATGGAGCAGTCCCACGGCTCTCAGGGAGAGGTGGCAGTGACTGGGTGCCAGCCTCCACCCTGGGGTCCTCCTGAACCCCCCATGGGGTCCTGGTCTGGGCAATGACCTTGGAGGGAACYGGGAGTGCCACAGCAGCACCATGTGCACCACAGACAGGGGTCCTGGGTCTGCGGGTCCTGGCTCAGCCCAGGATTAGTGTCCAAACCTGACCTCAGCACCCTGACCCCAGCCCATGACCCCATCATGACCCCAAACATGACTCCACGGTGACCCAAGCCCTGATCCCAACTCTAACCCCATCATGACCCCAATGCTGGTCCCCATACTCACCCCTGAACTACAGTATTGACCCCAACCCTGCCTCCCTGCCTTGACCATACTCACCCCCAGCGTTGACCCCAACCCTGCCTCCCTGCCTTGACCCAAGCCTGCCCCCCACGCTGACCTCCTGCTTACAATCACTGTCACCTCTGGACCCTGTCACCTCTGGACCCTGTCCCCCTGGACCCTGACCCCACCCTTGACCACTCCGCGCCCCAATTCCACCCCCACCCCTGACCCTCACTTTACCCCCGGCCCCTCCCGCCGCTCCTGTCCCTTTAAGACCCCCGTCCYCGGGCCGTACCATGCGCCGCCGCAGAGGGGGGATCTCCACGGGCAAGCTCGCTCCCCGCCTATTGGCGGGCGGTGAGGGCGGAGCGTGCTCCCCCGCGCGTGTGCCCGGGTGGTGCGGTCCGCTGTACGTGCCGGCCGCGCCGGGGCCGCGGGAGCCGCCAGCGCCAGACGGGCCGGGCCGGCGGTGGGTGTGGGACCCGCGGGACCGGGGACGTGTGGCTSAGGAGGGGCGGGCACGGGGGTCGTCTGTAGCTGAGGGGGTGGCTGAGCTCTGCCGTCGGGGTCTTCCGTGTTTGGGAGGGGCGGTCCGGCATCCCCCGGTGGGGTTGGCATGGGATGGGGGASTTTTGTTATATTGAGGGGACTGGTGTGATTGGCTCCCTGTTTCTGGGGTGATTGGGGTCCCCTGTGTCGGGGCGCTGCCGTGGGTGGCCTCGCTGTTACTGGCGGGGAAGTCGGTGTGAATGGAGCCTCTTTTTGAGGGGTGACTGGGATGAGCAGAGCTCCTTGGTAACTGGGAAATGTGGTGTGAGTGGGCATCGTGTTATTATTGGGGGTTACTGACGTGTCCAGAGATTCCTCTTAGTTGGAGAGACTGAGATGGTCGCTTTCCTGTTCTTTGGCGAGTCTGATGCAACTGGACCCCCTGTTATGTGGAAGGGATTGGGATGAGCAGACCTCCCAGTTACCTGGAGTGTCTGGTGTGACTGGACATTGTGTTATTGGGGGGTTTACTGAGATTTGTAAAGATCGCTCTTCTTCGAGGGGTCGGGGAGGACTGGGATAACCCCTGTTTTATGGTGGTTTGGTGTGAGTGGCCCCCAGTTATTCGGTAGGCATTTGGGTGACCAGAGCCCCTCTTGTTTGGGAGCATCTTGTGTTGCTGAGCACCCTGTTATTGGGGAGATCGGTGTGACCACTCCCTGAATGGGGGGCTGGCATGAGTCCCCCCCTGTTATTTGGGGGGTACCCCTATGACATCTGTCACCCCGGGGGCTATGGGGACTGACCAGCACCCTGGCCGGGCTGAGGAGGGGGTGCAATCAGCCCGGGGTGATGCCCTGCCTTTGCTTCCACAGCACTGAAGGGTTGCTCAGATTTACCCCATCCCAGGCTGCTGCTGGTTAAAAGCTTTTAATGAGCTTATTTTTCTGGCACTTCGCTGCTGAACGGTATTCCCAGCATTTAATTAACACCTTTGCTGCAGG